CTAAAAATTTAATCCTATATACTTTAGAACTTGGAGAACAACTTTAATTAAAACATTAACTAATGTTAGCAATACAGGGAGTGTACATCAAAATTTTGAACATCAAAAATTTCGCATATATCAAATTTATTATAAAAATGAAAAAATTACTTTTATGCGAAACTAACGGTGCCTTTACAAGCACTTTATTTAAATCGGCTTAAATTAATACGATTACAATATTTGTGAATAAGCAAGTTGATATAGATTTTTTAACTTTCACGTTTTTTGGTTTATATTTTTAACGCATATTCTCTAAATTCAATAAAAAGGTTTACTGACCCAATTAGTTAATATGAATTTTAAAAAAAATTCCCAAAACCAATATTTATATATTAAAAGTATCAGGTCACGAAGATGGTTTTACTATCTTACATATAACAGACACAATTAATACAATTAAGTCCTTTGCTACTTCGTGATAATACTGATCTTAGTTTTCATTATAAAACAAAACAAACGTCGTTCATTAAATAAAGTTGCATGATATATCGCTTAGATTATTCCTATTACCTTACAAATATATAATTTTGTGTCTCAATCATATATATAGATTTTTGGCATTTATAAATAAATAAATAAATAAATATTACCTTCACGATACTTACTATATCATGGTAACCAAGAATTGAACTGAATTACAACGCTAATATGTATCAAATAAATTATACAAGCATGTACGACATATCTAGAAACAGACATTGCATAAGTCTATACAAAAAGAGAATGCCAATCTTCAGAAAAGCCTAAGCGTCAGCAAATAGGTATATATTGAGGGTTTAAATGTGGAACTTGTATATCCCTATGTTGCTTGAATTTAACCAATACGACATGATCTTTTCCGTGCCAATGCAAAATGATAGGCTTTTTACGACTCCCAGGCTTTTTATCGAATGGCAAAAAAAAAAGACTTGACGTAGAATCCTCACTAAATGCTGCTATTGGTATGTTAAATGTATCAGATGCTAGCTGAGCACATTCTGGCACATAAAACCAGTACTCTCGTGAACATCCTGGCTAAAAACATGATAGAACAGATATTAGTCGACTGGTGTCATATCCAAGTATGTTACCGTATATATATTGCTGCTTGGTCAGCTGAGACTTCATAGCAATCTTAACATCTTGCCATTTGCCTTCTTCTTGAAATATAGCTACAGCTAGTGATTGGAATCCACAATGACCATCGCCAAGTAGGTTGTGTACCTATAATTATATATTTAAAATTAATTAAATTATTTTGTGCAAAGTAATTTCAAAAACATTTTGCCATTGCAAAATCACTAGTAATAGTTATACTCTGAATTATTGAGTGTAATTGAAATTTACTGAAAGATATAATTAATACATATTAGCTATTTATATCTTTTTTCAGTAAATTTTACTTAATCCAATTACCCAGATTTATCTCGCTATCCACATAACATGAACTTATTTAAAGATTGTAATGTAGCTATATAGTTAGTTATTCTAATTACCTAAGATAATAAATTGATATAAAAATAAGTACTATATTGGCGCGTTATAACACATTATTTCGAGACCTGCGCGTTATTTTGGGACATGCATAGGCGTTATTTTGAGTCAAAAACTATTTTCAAAAAAATGAGAGTTTCGAAATAACGCCCATAAGCATTATTACGCGTAGAGTTAATACATGAATCCAGATTTAATCATTAAATTCGGATTTAATCACTAAATCCGGATTTAGTCATTAAATTTGGATTAATTATTAGATCTGGATTTAAATATGCAGGCTTACTTTTGTCTACTCACGAATCTGTTTCAGATATATAGTGACAATACTAGATACATTGTTAAATCCAGATCTAACAATCAAATCCGGATTTAATAATTAATCCGGATTTAACAATTAAATCCGGATTAAATGATTAAATCCGGATTTAAGTATTAACTCTAATTATGCGCCAATACGATATGTTACGTAAAGAGAAAATAATAATCTAACAAAATTTAATATAAATCTAATAACTTAGCAATATTATAAAAAGCTAATTTCAGTAATCTGTAACTAAAAATAACTAAACTTAAAAAATTACCATATCAATTATTTAATAAAACACATACCTCTAACACTGCATTTTGAGGAATACGTGAATCAAGGCTCAAACCAGATAAGTGTGATAATGTCGTATTATTCTTATCAAATTCTTTCTTAACTTTGGCTTTTTTAAGCATATTTTTATCAGTACCATGAATATGCCCATTATTAGGAGGACGACCATGTTTACGTTTAATTTCAGGCATCTTAATTTCCTTATAATTTGTAATGCTATCGATGCTAGTTGTTTTAAAAGTGCTCTGCTGTAAAGTGCTTAAGTCATTTTCAAGTTTGGGTATTTTGCATAAGATTTATTAGATCATTATGATGACACTCTGGTAGCTTTTGGAAAATCTGTGCAGCAACTTGGGGAACAGGATCTTGAACGCAATTAGTATGCAGCACATGCCAACGTTTATGAACCTCACTTTGTGGTATACAAGTGCGCATATATAGTAAGTATACTATAATTATATGTTGGCATGGAGTCCTAGTGTGCCATGGATACAAACATGTGCAAGTACTTGGTGTTCCAATTTGCACCATGCATGTTATTGTTGCTTGATCACCGATTTGCACTACATCATATATATTATCAGCGCATTTAAGAACTCCATATTCACCTAACATTACAAGATCTCTTTGTTGTTTTATATAGGTTTCAAATGCAAATCGTGAGCATACTAAACGCAACTTTTCCAGACCTGGTCTTTGTCATCTTGTGTATGCCTATTCTGATGTAAAAACGTTTTGTATTCAAACTTTTGAGTGTGTTCTTTATGTTGTTGTCGAATTACTGCAAGCAACCTATTAATAAGGATCAGAATTAATTAATAAATATTTATAAACATGAAAAAAAGGTACTGAGATTAAATGACAACTAATACACAATATTGTTCAATAATATTTAATATAATAATAAGGTGTTAGTGAAGTGTCTAACCTAATTGGTAATTATTTTTTTTTTTGAAAAAAATATATATGTATTGACTAGTTAACCAATTAATCGACTAATTAGATAGTTAATTTTTTTTTTTTAAAAAAAAAAAAAAAAATTACCCATCGAATTAATTGATTAACAAATCCTATCCCTACCTATCAATCAGAGTAACACGACTTTCAATACTTTTTAATTGACTATATAGGCTTTCAACATGCTGGCTTGACTTCATGTCAAGATTTATATATTTTTTTGTGTACGCTGCAAGCCAACATTCTTTATGAGCATCCACGTCTCACACATATACTTTTTTGCACTTGGAAAATGTGTCCATAGCTCCATAAGTTCTTGTTCTGTCTGATCTTCTGAAAGATCATTATATACAAGCTTTTGAACGGCTTGAGTAAACTCATCAATTTTGATACTTTTAAGCTTGTTTCTTATATTTTTAAAAATATGCCAAATGCATAGCTGGTGTTTTGTATTAGGAAACACAATAGATATTGCAGCCATAAGGGCCAACTCTCGATCAGTTATTATTGTTGCTACATTCGAATCTTCTGTTAAAATGGTAAGCACCCTACACAACTGTTGCAATACCCAGCAATAAAAATCGTTTGTTTCATAATAAACAAACGAAAAGGCCAAAGGATATGTTAATCCAAATCGGTTGATGCCGCAAATAACAATTAATAGCATGGCAAATCTGTTGTTTAATAAAAATAAAAATAGATAGATAAGTAAAATAAAAAATAAAAATAATGCTATGTACAAAAAAAGTACTTTCACTAAAAAAAATTAAGTGCTAAATAGTATATATATATATTTTTTTGATATTAAAATTAAGTTAAAGATTGCATTAAATAAAGAATAAAATTACTGCTCATTAATTAACAAATTAAATTAAATTAAATTAACTTATCCAGATTATCTAGATAGCCTATCCTATTATAATATACACATGACTCTGGTTATATTGACACTTTTTAAAATAAAGATTATACCTATATAGAAAATGTTATTATATATCTATAATAAAATTACCCGATTAACTGGGTAATTTATTAATACTTGGGTAGAAGTTTTCTTGACGGTATGATCTCTATTTTAAAAGTACTAAAATATATAAAATAAAATAAAATCTGATATATCCCAGGTGTTAGTTTAATTAGAAACATTTTGTTATCAAATATAAAAATAAAATTTAAAAAATGCCGTATTTAGACAGTCACATAACAACCTTTAAAATAAAAAAACAAAAAATAACCTGTTAGTTTTATACGTCGCGTCAACAATTAATGCATCTTTTGCTATTGCGAATTCAGAAAATGTATCTTGATGTGCCCAGAAAATTGCTTGAACAAATGATCCATCTTGATCACGTTCATCATTATATGCAGGTTTAGTTGCTATATCTGCTATAATATTTTCATCATTTTGCAAGGTTCTTAGTAGTATTTCAATCTCATGTAACCCTTGCAATTTTTGCTGCCATTGACGACTCACAGCATTATAAATATCATGTTTATGCAGATATTTCGAGCTTACAGATGCTAAAACAGTGTAGATATTCTTTGTTCGAAGCCCATTGCTATGAAGCTTATCAACTGTGTCTATTTCATTCTGATTAAGTTTGCGCATATTACTACTAAATTTTCTAGTGTCTGGATAAATCTCATGATTATGCGTCAAGCATAAGCTAGTTATAATGAATTCATTTTGACGCTTACGATAATTTATCCTAATAACAAACGGACAACCTGTTCGCTTTGTAGTATACGCCTCATTTGTTCCATTGTAACTTCCTTGTTTTTCGCAAACAAAAGATGCCTGCCTATAGCTACCATCATCAGGATTTTTAGTGGTTTTTCCCAAAATTATAACAATGTTGGTTTGTGTAGCATAATTTTCTACAAAGGCACGAGCTTCATCAAATGTAGAAAAACTTTTCTCTTTCTCAGGAATAAGAATAGTATTAGTATTCATAAAAGAAGAATAGAGGTAAATAACAAATAAACAATGAAAATATTTGAAAGTAGAACAATATTGGATTGATGAAAATGAATAAACTAGGGCCAACAACGAAAAATGCAAGGTCAATTATGAATTTAAGGTTAACGAAGAATGTAAGATCAATGAAATGTCAACGAATGATGTAAGATCAATGAAGAATATAAGATTAACGAAGAATATAAGGTCAACAAAGAATATAAGATCAATGAAAATGTAATATCAACAAAAAATGTAAAGCGAGAAATGTAAGATCAACAAAGAATGTAAGTTGAAAATTGTAAAATCAACAAATAATGTAAGGTCAATGAAGAATGTAAGATAATGAAAAATATAAGGTCAACGAAAATGTAAGTTCAATGATGAATATAAGGTCAACGAGGAATGTAAGGTCAATGAAGAATGTAAAGTCAACGAAGAATGTAAGGTCAACGAAGAATGTAAAATTAATGAATAATGTAAATTAACGAATAATGTAAAATCAACGAAAAATGTAAGATCAACGATAATGATAAAGGTCAAAAAGGTCAAAAAATTAATTTTATTAATCAAATTATACTATTTAAATATGCAATCTAATTGGTTGATAAAATTTTAATGTACATCAAAAAATTTGATGTACGAAAATAATTGTCGAATTTTTAAATGTTTAATAAATACTGTGATTTTATTGGCCAAACCTAAATTGATGTACATGAAGTTACATGAAACTGATGTACAAAAATCATTCCTCTTTTTGTAGACATAATGAAATTGCTTGTGAAATAATCATCTTCAATTTGTGTACCGTAGCTTCTGCATTCCCTAACTGTTAAGTAACTAACCTATTACATAAATTTGCACGTCCTTAAGAATTTTCTGTAAATTTCTAGTGCAACACAATATACTGTATTATTGTTTAACGTCATTTCACAATTTAAGTCAATTTTGAATTGACCTACGTCATTCTTAAATTTTCACCGATTTAGAAATGACTTGGGTCAATTCTTAATGCGATATGCACTGGTGCTAATTTGTCATATAGGATAATTGGCCACACACTGCGGCAAATGGAAGGACTTTATCTCAAATTTAATAAAAATAAGATCTCAGAATCACTTATTAATTTATTATACTATAAATGTATTACGTATGCCATTTTATTTAATATTAAAAGAAAAAAAAATAAAAACCTTTGATCGAATATTAAAAATTTTATTCGTCAAATGAAAAACAAACATAGTATAATGGATCGAAATAAATATAATCAATGTTTAATGTACAAACATTTTACAAACCTAAATTTTAAATATTGGGTGACATAATTTTAAAATTTATGTTGGTATGACTGAAGAACTTCATATAATTAAGCCAACTGAAAATAACCTGGGGTGCAAGTTTGTTCAATTGAAAAATTTTCATGATATAATTTGTGCCGCCACAAACAACAGAACATGCTGGTCAAGACAAAACCTGGCAAAAGGTTTTTTTTTTTGTTTTTAGTTTGTTTTATAATATACTTACTTTCTTTTCAATAACATAAAAAAGATTCACATGAGATATTGTTTTATTCCACAAAAGATTTCTACCGAAAAAAAAACTTGTTATGTACATACGATATAGATATGTTCTACTTCTACATGGTAAATGCATAATCAATGAGATTTTTTTTAGTTTTATGTAATTTTTAGTTATGCGAATTTTTATATGCCTTTATTGTGCTTTATTTTTATTTTTTTATGATATGTGATTTTTTTTATTAAAGTTTTATGAAGTATTTCGTTTTTAATATAACAGTAATTTACACAAATGTTACATTTTTATTAATTTTATATGTATAATTTTGTGTAAATTTTTTATGGCTTATTTATTTATGAAAAGGATAATTAATGTTTTATTATTGGCCTTATTATTTTTAGAACCTGGTGGTATAAATTTATGTTGTCACTGATTAAGAAATAACGTAAGTCATTTCAAAATTTAAAAATGATTTAGGTCAATTTGTAATTAACTTAAATTGTGAAATGACACAGAACATTATTAACATTACTTAAAATTTTTGAGATTAAGAAATTTTTATAGCAACCTTTAAAATTTTAACTTCTCTACTAGCCAAATAAATCAAGTTCTACTATCTTAGAACTATCTATATAAAATAATGCAGCTTTAAAGCTATATTTCTAGACTTATTTTATTTTTAATTAAAGTTAACAAATTTTGATGCAAGCTTTAATAAATTTAATAAGTAAACTAAAATCTGATAGCTAGTCTTTAAAGTCACGCTAATTGTATATAACAATTCAAACGCTACAATACTTAATTTGTTTGGTTAAAAAAAGTTAGCACATTTTAAAGTTTATAATAAACTATGAATTTTAATTGGATGACAATAAAAAGATAATAGATATAACTGAACAAAGATTAACAAAATCATAATAAGAAAACTTCATCCAATTATTCAGTGATATCTTTTCGCCTCTCACTACCTACCTTCTAAATATAATTAGACTCAAAATGAATATAGGTTTTATTTAATGAATTATACGCACATTTTATAAAAGGTGGAGCGATTCCACTTAATAGAATATATAATTCCATTAATTTTATAGTAGTATAACTATAATTTACAATTCTGTCTTTACATCCTTCAAGTTTATTTCAGACATTTACACATATATTGTACCGCTATCATCTGTACATCACTCCAAACCGTATAGGGCAATCCATGATGTACTACTACTTACTACTACGTTATGTACCTCATTTAACATGTTTAACTGGTCTAATTGCTAACTAAATCCAAGATAAAGAAAATGAGTTATGCAAAAAAGGAAATATAACTAATAAAATAAGGGTAAATCAAACAGGATACATGTTTAAGAAAAAACAAGCACATTGCATATGCTGTACATGTCACTCAATGAATTTGATTACAATCTTATATATTTTGCTTTAAATGATTTTTTATCCAAATATATACTATCATCAATAGAAAATTGTTGAAAAAAATTGTACAGTACCGGACAGCAAAAAAAATCCAAATTTTTTTTAAGGCGCCAAATTTTGAAGCATATAATCAAACATAATAGGCTAATTTTACCAGAAACGGGGTGTTATATAATATCACGAAGTTTATAGTTTATAGGCATTTTTAGTAATGTATGTTCGCAAAATCTCATTATTGATTGGGAAATACATTAAATGCAGTATGAGATTTGTTTAACCATACCATAACGCACGTTC